CTATGTGAGCCTTAGGCTGGAAGGCAGTGGAAGGTGATCAAACAAAATTTCAGACTTTAAAAAAAATTGATGTGCAAGATGTTGAAAGACAGTGGAAGTTGCATTGCAAAATCAAAGCTGTAATCCAGCATCATACTATCCCTAGTGTTGAGTATAATTATCACGTGCGGAAGTTTGAAATAAGTTCCAATTTCTTTCCGAAAATGAATTTTAGCTATTGTTCTCAACCTTATGCCCTATCGCTTGGCAAGACGCTACCCACCAAGAGAACTACGTACTCACCCCCTAGAGTGCACCGACCACCAAAAATACTATCACGGTTAACCAAAGGAGGAAGATAGTGATAAAGGATGGATCACATTCGTCAAGCGAAAAAGAAATGGTCTTTCTCACTTTCAAGTACTACTTCAACTTTTAAAACACCACCGTTTACTGTTTCAAGAATCTCGTACAAAACATGTTTTCAAACCTAGTATGAGACAGAGAACAGTAACTACCTGTCAATTAATGTACTTAAACATGTAAATCGTAATTATCTATATATTCTTGTGGGTTTTTTTCCTTGTTATTTTAAATGATAATTCTACTCGTTACAGCGATTTTTGTAAGAAAAGTGACTGTTATTAAAGAACAATTTCGCAGCAGTTGATAATAATCTTTATCGATATCTAGTTCTCGTGTTATGTTTACTTTCATGACATTATCTTAAAATGAGTAGTTGGGAGTCCCGAATTCTGAATACACGACAAAGGAAATTGAAATTGATTGAAAATTTGCTATATTTTCTGCTGATTTTAATGGTAGACTAGTTTGGATCCTGAAGGAAAATGTAGAAGTAATGAATATAAATTCCCAGCGAACGCCGTAATATCCTAATTAAAAAAAAAAAAGAAACTAATCTGAAGGGTGTATTTAATGTCAACAACTATTTTGACCGAAAATTGAAACCCCAAGATTTAAAGATTTCCCCGTCTCTTTTTTGTACTCTTTCATCCACAGCTGTGATTCGAGTGCCAATTGAGGGATAATGTGTGTGGACATAGTGCAGGAGACGCATATTATTCTGCATTTTCAAATTGATAATATTGCCCGAAGGCTTGCGAGATTTTTTTTTCAAAGGGCAAA